GCCAGAACATCCAGATTAATGTTACCAGCACCATCACCACTGCCAGAACTACCATATTAATGTTACCAGCACTATCACCACTGCCAGAACTTCCAGATTAATGTTACCAACACATCACCACTGCCAGAATTTCCAGATTAATGTTACCAACACATCACCACTGCCAGAACTACCAGATTAATGTTACCAGCACCATCACCACTGCCAGAACTTCCAGATTAATGTTACCATCACCACTGCCAGAACATCTAGATTAATGTTACCATCACCATCACCACTGCCAGAACATCCAGATTAATGTTACCAGCACCATCACCACTGCCAGAACATCCAGATTAATGTTACCATCACCACTGCCAGAACTTCCAGATTAATGTTACCATCACCACTGCCAGAACTTCCGTTATGTTACCAGCACCATCACCACTGCCAGAACCACCAGATTAATGTTAACAGCACCATCACCACTGCCAGAACTTCCATGTGTGTTAAAACAAGCACCATCACGCTGCCAGAACTACCAGATTAATGTTACCATCACCACTGCCAGAGCATCAGTTAATGTACCATCCACCATCACCACTGCCAGAACTTCAGATTAATGTTACCAGCACCATCGCCACTGCCAGAACTACCAGATTAATGTTAGCAGCACCATCACCACTGCCAGAACTGTAGTAATGTTAACAGCACCATCACCACTGCACCAGAACTACTAGATTAATGTTGCCATCACCACTTCCAGAACATCAGATTAATGTTACCATCACCATCACCACTGCCAAGAACATCAGGTCCAATGTTACACCATCACCACTTTCTTAGAACATCCAGATTAATGTTACCAGCACCATCACCACTGCCAGAACTGTCAGATTAATATTTACCATCACCACTGCCAGAACTTCCATATTGAAATATTTACCATCACCATCACCACTGCCAGAACTTCCAGATTAATGTGCCAGCGCCATCACCACTGCCAGAACTACCAGATTAATGTTACCAGCACCATCACCACTGCCAGAACACCAGATTAATGTTACCATCACCGCAGAACTACCAGATTAATGTTACCAGCACCATCACCACTGCCAGAACTTCCAGATTAATGTTACCATCACCACTGCCAGAACATCTAGATTAATGTTACCATCACCACTGCCAGAACTTCCAGATTAATGTTACCATCACCATCACCACTGCCAGAATTTCCAGATTAATGTTACCATCACCATCACCACTGCCAGAACATCCAGATTAATGTTACCATCACCACTGCCAGAACATCCAGATTAATGTTACCAGCACCATCACCACTGCCAGAACATCCAGATTAATGTTACCATCACCACTGCCAGAACTTCCATATTAATGTTACCATCACCATCACCACTGCCAGAACTTCCATATTAATGTTACCATCACCACTGCCAGAACATCTAGATTTATGTTACCATCACCACTGCCAGAACTTCCAGATTAATGTTACCATCACCATCACCACTGCCAGAATTTCCAGATTAATGTTAATGTTACCATCACCATCACCACTGCCAGAACATCCAGATTAATGTTACCATCACCACTGCCAGAACATCCAGATTAATGTTACCAGCACCATCACCACTGCCAGAACATCCAGATTAATGTTACCATCACCACTGCCAGAACTTCCATATTAATGTTACCATCACCATCACCACTGCCAGAACTTCCATATTAATGTTACCAGCACCATCACCACTGCCAGAACTTCCAGATTAATGTTACCAACACATCACCACTGCCAGAACTACCAGATTAATGTTACCAGCACCATCACCACTGCCAGAACTTCCAGATTAATGTTACCATCACCACTGCCAGAACATCTAGATTAATGTTACCATCACCACTGCCAGAACTTCCAGATTAATGCTACCATCACCATCACCACTGCCAGAATTTCCAGATTAATGTTACCATCACCATCACCACTGCCAGAACATCCAGATTAATGTTACCATCACCACTGCCAGAACATCCAGATTAATGTTACCAGCACAATCACCACTGCCAGAACATCCAGATTAATGTTACCATCACCACTGCCAGAACATCCAGATTAATGTTACCATCACCATCACCACTGCCAGAATTTCCAGATTAATGTTACCATCACCATCACCACTGCCAGAACTACCAGATTAATGTTACCAGCACCATCACCACTGCCAGAACTTCCAGATTAATGTTACCAGCACCATCACCACTGCCAGAACTACCAGATTAATGTTACCATCACCACTGCCAGAACTTCCAGATTAATGTTACCAGCACCATCACCACTGCCAGAACTTCCAGATTAATGTTACCATCACCACTGCCAGAACATCTAGATTAATGTTACCATCACCACTGCCAGAACTTCCAGATTAATGTTACCATCACCATCACCACTGCCAGAATTTCCAGATTAATGTTACCATCACCATCACCACTGCCAGAATTTCCAGATTAATGTTACCATCACCATCACCACTGCCAGAACATCCAGATTAATGTTACCATCACCACTGCCAGAACATCCAGATTAATGTTACCAGCACCATCACCACTGCCAGAACATCCAGATTAATGTTACCATCACCACTGCCAGAACTTCCATATTAATGTTACCAGCACTATCACCATTGCCAGAACTACCAGATTAATGTTACCAGCACCATCACCACTGCCAGAACTTCCAGATTAATGTTATCATCACCACTGCCAGAACATCCAGATTAATGTTACCAGCACCATCACCACTGCCAGAACTACCATATTAATGTTACCAGCACTATCACCACTGCCAGAACTTCCAGATTAATGTTACCAACACATCACCACTGCCAGAATTTCCAGATTAATGTTACCAGCACTATCACCACTGCCAGAACTTCCATATTAATGTTACCAACACATCACCACTGCCAGAACTACCAGATTAATGTTACCAGCACCATCACCACTGCCAGAACATCCAGATTAATGTTACCATCACCACTGCCAGAACTTCCATATTAATGTTACCATCACCACTGCCAGAACTTCCAGATTAATGTTACCAGCACCATCACCACTGCCAGAACTACCAGATTAATGTTAACAGCACCATCACCACTGCCAGAACTTCCATATTAATGTTAACAGCACCATCACCACTGCCAGAACTACCAGATTAATGTTACCATCACCACTGCCAGAACATCCAGATTAATGTTACCATCACCATCACCACTGCCAGAACATCCAGATTAATGTTACCATCACCACTGCCAGAACATCCAGATTAATGTTACCAGCACCATCACCACTGCCAGAACATCCAGATTAATGTTACCATCACCACTGCCAGAACTTCCATATTAATGTTACCATCACCACTGCCAGAACTTCCAGATTAATGTTACCAGCACCATCACCACTGCCAGAACTACCAGATTAATGTTAACAGCACCATCACCACTGCCAGAACTTCCAGATTAATGTTAACAGCACCATCACCACTGCCAGAACTACCAGATTAATGTTACCAGCACCATCACCACTGCCAGAACTTCCATATTAATGTTACCATCACCACTGCCAGAACATCTAGATTTATGTTACCATCACCACTGCCAGAACTTCCAGATTAATGTTACCATCACCATCACCACTGCCAGAATTTCCAGATTAATGTTAATGTTACCATCACCATCACCACTGCCAGAACATCCAGATTAATGTTACCATCACCACTGCCAGAACATCCAGATTAATGTTACCAGCACCATCACCACTGCCAGAACATCCAGATTAATGTTACCATCACCACTGCCAGAACTTCCATATTAATGTTACCATCACCATCACCACTGCCAGAACTTCCATATTAATGTTACCAGCACCATCACCACTGCCAGAACTTCCAGATTAATGTTACCAACACATCACCACTGCCAGAACTACCAGATTAATGTTACCAGCACCATCACCACTGCCAGAACTTCCAGATTAATGTTACCATCACCACTGCCAGAACATCTAGATTAATGTTACCATCACCACTGCCAGAACTTCCAGATTAATGTTACCATCACCATCACCACTGCCAGAATTTCCAGATTAATGTTACCATCACCATCACCACTGCCAGAACATCCAGATTAATGTTACCATCACCACTGCCAGAACATCCAGATTAATGTTACCAGCACAATCACCACTGCCAGAACATCCAGATTAATGTTACCATCACCACTGCCAGAACATCCAGATTAATGTTACCATCACCATCACCACTGCCAGAATTTCCAGATTAATGTTACCAGCACCATCACCACTGCCAGAACTACCAGATTAATGTTACCAGCACTATCACCACTGCCAGAACTTCCAGTTACCAACACATCACCACTGCCAGAATTTCCAGATTAATGTTACCAGCACCATCACCACTGCCAGAACTACCAGATTAATGTTACCAGCACCATCACCACTGCCAGAACTTCCAGATTAATGTTACCATCACCACTGCCAGAACATCTAGATTAATGTTACCATCACCACTGCCAGAACTTCCAGATTAATGTTACCATCACCATCACCACTGCCAGAACTTCCAGATTAATGTTACCATCACCATCACCACTGCCAGATTAATGTTTCACCACTGCCAGAACCATGTTACCATCACCACTAATGTTACCATCACCATCACCACTGCCAGAACTTCCAGATTAATGTTACCATCACCATCACCACTGCCAGCCAGACCACTGCCATCCAGATTAATGTTACCATCACCACTGCCAGAACATCCAGATTAATGTTACCAGCACCATCACCACTGCCAGAACATCCAGATTAATGTTACCATCACCACTGCCAGAACTTCCATATTAATGTTACCATCACCATCACCACTGCCAGAACTTCCAGATTAATGTTACCAGCACCATCACCACTGCCAGAACTACCAGATTAATGTTACCATCACCACTGCCAGAACTTCCAGATTAATGTTACCGACACCATCACCACTGCCAGAACTTCCAGATTATTGTTACCGACACCAGCACCACTGCCAGAACTTCCAGATTATTGTTACCGACACCATCACCACTGCCAGAACATCCAGATTAATGTTACCATCACCACTGCCAGAACATCCAGATTAATGTTACCAGCACCATCACCACTGCCAGAACATCCAGATTAATGTTACCATCACCATCACCACTGCCAGAACTTCCAGATTATTGTTACCGACACCAGCACCACTGCCAGAACTTCCAGATTATTGTTACCGACACCAGCACCACTGCCAGAACTTCCAGATTAATGTTACCGACACCATCACCACTGCCTGAACTTCCAGATTAGTTTTAAATTGAGAATTGACCGCTCTAATTATACTTTTCTTGAAGGGTGTACTTTGTTTTTTTGATGACAAGTCGTCATTGAATCGCTTTGTTACAATAATGTGGGGAAAGGGTTAATGTGTGTTGCCCCTGAGCTAGCAATCATTTCAGTAAAGTGAGGTTTTGTATAGCTCTCACGGTCTGTATGACTCCTGTATAAACAGAATCGGACACATTGGATTTAATAGGAGCTGTTACAATGTATCAAGGATGCAGCCGGGGATCTCAGAGCCGCGGGGGCACCTACTCTCCCAGGGAGGGGTGGGGGGGGGCACCTACTCTTCAGGTTGGAATGGTGGTGGGGGGCCCTGTCTCCCAGGTGCCAGGGGGCACCCTACTCTTCAAGGTTGGGGGATGGTGGTGGGGGAAGGAGCCACCCTATTCTTGAGTTGGGGGTTGCTGTCAGGTCTACTTGAATGAAGATGATATGGGTATCACCCCTCTGATCCTATTACCAGGAGCCGGCCGTGACGCACAGAGTATCAGCCAATCCTTGCCCTGGGATCGGCGGAGACAGCTGGAGCTCTATAAAACGGAGGGAGCTCGGTGAGGATCAGGTATTAGGAAAGCAACGCTGCTCCTTACTGGATCGAAGCTGCAGATCCCAGAGCTCCCCCGAGTACTTACAGCGCTCCACTGCTCCCCCAGCCCAGGCTCCACTGCCCCCTCTACCTCCCCCAGCCAAGGCTCCACTGCCCCCTCTACCTCCCCCAGCCCAGGCTCCACTGCCCCCTCTACCTCCCCCAGCCCAGGCTCCACTGCCCCCTCTACCTCCCCTACCTCCCCAGCCCCCCACTGCCCCCCTCTACCTCCCCCCAGCCGGGCTCCACTGCCCCTCTCCCCAGCCCTCCACCGCTTCCGCCACCCAGCCCAGGCTCCACTGCCCCCCTCTGTATCCCCTCTAGCGAACCCCCAGCCATCCCTCTGTATCCCCTAGCTGGAACCCCCACATCCTCTGTATCCCCAGCTGAACCCCCACATCCTCTCTGTATCCCCTAGCTGTACCCCCCTACACCTCTGTATCCCCAGCTGAACCCCCACATCCCTCTGTATCCCCAGCTGGAACCCCTGGGCCACCCCTCCCTGTAATCCCCCAGCTGGAACCCCCACACCCCTGTGTATCCCCCAGTGCACCCCCTACCTCCTCTGTATCCCCTAGGTGTACCCCCCACATCCCTCCCTGTATCCCCAGCTGTACCCCCCACATCCCTCTGTAATCCCCCAGCTGAACCCCCACACCCTCCTCCCTGTATCCCCTAGGTGTACCCCCCCACATCCCCCAACCCCCTAGCTGAACCCCACACCCCTCTGTATCCCCTAGCTGGAACCCCCGCCACCCCTCTGTATCCCCTAGCTGAAACCCCACACCCCTCTGTATCCCCTGTGGTGTACCCCCCACATCCCTCTGCATCCCCTCAGCTGAACCCCCACACCCTCTCTGTATCCCCCAGCTGTGCCCCCCACACCCCTCTCTGTATCCCCTGTAGCTGAACCCCCACATCCCTCTGTATCCCCAGCTGGAACCCCCACACCCCTCTGTAACTCCCCTAGCTGTACCCCCACACCCCTCTCTGTATCCCCTAGGTGTACCCCCACATCCCTTCCTGTATCCCCAGCTGAACCCCACATCCTCTCTGTATCCCCTAGCTGAACCCCCACACCCCTCCCTCTGTATCCCCCCTGAAGGAACCCCCACACCCTCTCTGTATCCCCTAGCTGAACCCCCACACCCTCTCTGTATCCCCTAGCTGAACCCCCACACCCTCTCTGTATCCCCTAGGTGTACCCCCACACCCTCTCTGTATCCCCTAGGTGTACCCCCACACCCTCTCTGTATCCCCTAGCTGTACCCCCTCTGGTCCCTGGAGAGGCTGTGCTATAGGGAGTTGTTAAGTTGGATATTTAAGGCTGGCTGAGTAGTTTCTGTGAACTTGGATTCCCTTCCCTTATACTTTAACTCGTAACTGATCAAACAGCCAGCTTTGCTGAGGTCACAGCTCCTGCAGGCAGAGCATATTGGAAAAGGACAGTCTACCTGGTGGGACAAACCACTTCCTGATCTCACTGCTCCCTCTGGGGTCTAGCTCTCTCCTCTCTGGGGGTCTCGCTCTCTCCTCTCTGGGGGTCTCGCTCTCTCCTCTCTGGGGGTCTAGCTCTCTCCTCTCTGGGGGTCTCGCTCTCTCCTCTCTGGGGGTCTCGCTCTCTCCTCTCTGGGGGTCTAGCTCTCTCCTCTCTAGCAGTTCTCTCTGGAGAGGATCAGTTAGTCAGGTTGACATTGTGGGACATTAGAAGATCTCTGGTGCCAGCCATGGATGGTACAAAGCCCCGCACCATGGCAGAGAATGGAGCTGTCAAATTAAACGGGTTCAAGTCAGAAAAGAAGAACCCAGGAACTGCCCTGAGCCGGGTGGGCAGATCTACAGTCAGCACCCCACCTGTGGACAGCTGGAGAGAGGAGGGGACCCGCAGCGAGGAGGACAATGAGCTGCCGCTTACAGCACCATCCTCAGGTCACTGGGAGAGGACCCCAGCAGGCAGGGGCTCCTGAAGACCCCCTGGAGAGCAGCCACAGCCATGCAGTACTTCACCAAGGGCTACCAGGAGACCATATCAGGTAAGTGAGTCCCAGGTACTTACAGATACCTTGTGCAAAAAGTAATACTGACAATTGTAAAGTGCATACCTGAACTAGGCATCTTATTTAACCAGTTACAGAGTGTGACCTGGACCCCCCATAGTGTCACCCAATGTCCTCTGGGTTATTTCATTGAATTTATTTCCACTCCTGGGTCTTCACGTGTGAGGCCACAATAGCTGAAAATATAATGAACTTTCGATTGATTCCAGTTTGTCTAATGTAGCTTCAAGTTTGGGATAATTCTCTCAATACTGAATTGCAATGCTTAGAGTAAAATTGGTCATTCTCCTTATTGGTTTATAGTCCCAGTGAATTTTTTAGAATTCCTAAAATTCCCACAATTACACGTTATTTTATCTGTATGTATATCCAAAATATAGTAAAGCACTGCGCCATTTGTTGGTCCTGTATACAGGACAATGAAACCTGTTTTGCTTAAGAAAGTCGCAGAGCTGTGACGTAGTCGTGTGAGCTTGGAGGTGTCATGGAAGCACTCAATCAGTGATTGGTTTCTACATTTAATACACCATATATACCGTCCGTCTAATAAACATAGAACACACTTACTAGAAATGAGCATTCAAACAAGCCACTGTTATTTAAGATAAAAACATACTTTTTATTTATTTTTATTTTTTTAAAGTAACCACATATATTAGATCTACCTCTGATTTCCATGTACACGTACAAAGTTACAAACTCCAGCTGCAGATAAGCTAGTGAACTGCAGGGCAGCGAAAAATACTGAGGACGTATTGACTCCATAAACAATAACTAGAGATGTGATAACTCTTGTCCCTGGGCCGCTTGCCCTCTAGTTAGTGGCCATTGGATTCCTTCTACCGGCACCTACTTTAGGCTTGTAGCTCTGGGCTGGGGGGTTACACACCACAGTACCCCGATTCCTTGGAGGCTGAATGAATAATTGGACGCAAAGTAGGCCCGGGTGACACCATGTGCCCAGGAAAGTTGGCAGGTGCTGTTGTTGGACAGCTCTTCTCAATAACATCTGTGAGCGGGAGGGAGGGCAGGGCGGTGGGGCAGAGAGTTTATAGATTTTACTAGAATGCACTGTTCAATGAATAAACCCTGGTGGTCAAGTCCTAGCCGAATTACTTTCCAGTAATGTCTTCTTTATTAGTGAGGGTCCTAACAAAAGTGCATTCCCTGAGAAACGGGCAGCATTTAATCTGATAAAATGTTCCATTTATACTTAACGAGGTATCGGTGGCATGACCGCCTTCCATCGCAGTATTTGGTTTTCTCGTTTGCTTTTGAAAACCAGACACGTTAATGAAAAGTTAAGTATTCTTACTATTTATAAAACCCTTATACTCCGCTAAGCTGTATATTCGAGGGTGCAGACTGTGCCTAAGAAAGAATCCAGGGACTCTGCTGTGAAATTAACATTTATAGCACTTTTAACCCTCTTAAATTTAGCAATTTTTATTCACATTTTAAAGATGGAATGGGCCAGCAGGGTCTGTGAACCCGGCTCCTTAACCCTTCCCTAGTTGAAGTCCTATTTTGGCAAAAAGCTCTGACTGTCTGTCATCATTTGACTTCACCAAAACTGGTTCCCAATGGGGCGAGGCTGTCAGTAAATCCACAGAATCACATATTCACTCACGCTGGGAAGGATTGCAGATCTGTGTTTATTCACTCTAAACACATTAGAACGTGTTAAAGGACACTATAGGCACCCGCACCCCTTCCTTTCAATGTTTATCTGGTGTCATACTGGTTGCCCCAGAGGCACTTTTTCCCACCTAGCAGAGTGGTGACCATCTGATTGGCACCGTGTTTTTTTCCATGCACACGCACTAGCTTCCTGAGGCTCTCCTATGCCAGACGCTATAATGCCCCGTTAATAAAGAGTGCACTCATTCCTGGCTATGAGTCTATGGAAAAATCTTTCAACTCTCATAAAATAAAAAACTGTAAACAAAAACCACAAACCGCAGAAAAAATAAACCCCAATGCGAGGTATTTCATGACTTCAAAGATTACTGCTAGCAGTCGGTGACATTTTATACACTTTCTACAGCCATTATTGGGGGACGTAGAATAGCACAGACAAAATTTGATTCCAAAAACAAAGGACTATTCCAGTTAGTGTCTAACAGGTGTAACTAGATTAAACACAATTAGTCAATAGAAGCAAAACAAACGTATCTTTCAATTCATTTTCTTTTCTTTCATTTTTGTGCAAAATATGTTCAAAGTAGCTAAAAAATGACATTAAACATTAGCCGAGATGGTGATCTCTCTCTAGCAGTGTAATTTCCAATCTATTGCATGCATGGCCCTTACTTTTCTGCATATTGTGTGAATTTTGGGTACATGGTGACTGTATCCTACGTGCTGTGTGAATTCTGGGTTCATGGTGACGGTATCCTGTGTACTGTGTGAATTGTGGGTTCATGGTGACTGTATCCTGCGTACTGTGTGAATTCTGGGTTATGGTGACGGTATCCTGCGTACTGTGTGAATTCTGGGTTATGGTGACGGTATCCTGCGTACTGTGTGAATTCTGGGTTATGGTGACGGTATCCTGCGTACTGTGTGAATTCTGGGTTCATGGTGATGGTATCCTGCGTACTGTGTGAATTGTGGGTTCATGGTGATAGTATCCTGCGCACTGTGTGAATTCTGGGTTATGGTGACCGTATCCTGCGCACTGTGTGAATTCTGGGTTATGGTGACGGTATCCTGCGTACTGTGTGAATTCTGGGTTCATGGTGATGGTATCCTGCGTACTGTGTGAATTCTGGGTTCATGGTGATGGTATCCTGCGTACTGTGTGAATTCTGGGTTCATGGTGATAGTATCCTGCGTACTGTGTGAAATGTGGGTTCATGGTGACGGTATCCTGCGTACTGTGTGAATTGTGGGTTCATGGTGACGGTATCCTGCGTACTGTGTGAATTCTGGGTTCATGGTGACAGTATCCTGCGTACTGTGTGAATTCTGGGTTCATGGTGATAGTATCCTGCGTACTGTGTGAAATGTGGGTACATGGTGACGGTATCCTGCGTACTGTGTGAATTGTGGGTTCATGGTGACTGTATCCTGCGTACTGCGTGAATTCTGGGTTATGGTGACCGTATCCTGCGTACTGTGTGAATACTGGGTTCATGGTGACCGTATCCTGCTGTAACGGCTACCCTGGTGTGGTGAGGGTACCAGCCGTTGGGGATGTCCTTTTCTTCCCGGCAAGTAGCTGTGTAGTGATGGAGTCGCCAATTCC